CATACCAAACAATACACGTCTAAATCATACTAACCAAACGAGCAACTCCGAAGCAAATAGAGCACACCAACATCTTTCGCTGAGCTGATAGCCTAATTGGAGGGCTCTCGACCTGTCTATCGGGACCTACAGGCATGAAACGCAGCATCCCAGGCAAAAGGGACGTCGGTACGAATAACGCACTGAGTATGTAAGGCACATAAATAAATACAAGAGAGATATGAAAGACATATAGAGTACATGACTCAACCTGTAAGTCTGAATAACTTTGTAAATCATAAATTACTTTTAACGTCATGCATATGCGTATGAATGTCATGTCGTGCAAAGGTACATATTTCATAATATCATCAGCCTCTGAGGGCATCCCATCATATCATATCGGCAACTGTGGGCAAAATCAACATCGTATACCAGCTGATCAGGTGGTGGTGCGTATATAACGCCATAACCTTTCCCATATCCCCTATACATATATACATACATATATACGCATATATAATGCCGTTTGAATAATACTTACATATATATGCGTATATAACGCCGTTTGAATCATATTTCGGCCACTGTGAGCAACATCATCATCATATACCAACTGATCAGGTGGTGGTGCGTATATAACGCCATAACTTTTTCCCATTCCATATACATATATTTGCATATATACGCGTATATAACGCCATCTGGTCATGTGTCAATGCACATGAATGCAATGCATGAAAAGTACGTCAATAAAATCATTCGGAAGGTCATAAGACCACTTTGCCTCTTGAGCAATATCATAAAGTAACATCTTTTCAACTTTCGTATTTTTCTGAGACTCATGAACAGATGATAAAATATTATGACACATGATAATTAAAGAATATAGATTTTTCTATTACTTCTATGAGTAGAGTCACTTATGCAATTTGTGCATTTGCACGCTTCGTTCATATCATATAGATCATGTCAAAAGAAAGAAGGGATAACCTTAACATACCTGTTCCCGAAATTATTTGAACGAATCTACTTCTGCGAAATATGGACGAAATTCTGCTTTGAAGCTCTCGAAAATCAGAAACAGAATTGATGGCTCTTTGAAATTAAAACGCTGGCAAAACTTGAATTGATGAACGGATTTTTTATGAATGAAGCTAGCTTTTGAAAATGGAATCTAATACCGTTTTTGCGTTTTCTCTTTGAACCCAAAGACCAAATGAATTATGATAATTGATGTCAAAGACATAATGTCTTTTTGAAACCCAAGACCAAAGTGCTTTAAGTCTTGTTTTAATAAGACTTGATCTGCCACCTACATATAATTTGATATGAGTCATTCCTATGTAGTGGCCTTTCTGCCACATGGGTGGGGTGTTTAGTTAATTAAGTTTTATCCATTTATTAGTTAATCGGGTAATGTCCTATTATCCGGTAATTAACCAATTACCCGAAAATTTGAGAATTATTCCCACTTATTTAAAATATTACTCACTTTTCACATACCTTATATGTCTTACTATTATAGTCATGTGGTACCTTGTATGGTACTAATCCATAAATACCGCGTATTTTAGCTTGAGGCGTATTTTAACCCAAAGTACCAAATTTCAACGAAATTCATTCTCTTCGACTTGCTTCCCCTCTCACCTTCACGAATTTATTTATCACTTACAATCCTTATAATTTCCAAATAATCTTTTCCTTGGACTGATGTCAATTACCTTATGAAAAATTCAACATCCAATAATGCAGGGTGCAACACTGTCGTAACTTATTACTACGAAGCATAACATCACCGTAATGTAATATTGTTGAGTAGAACACTGTCGTAACTTAATACTGCTGCACGTAATATCATCGTAATATATTACTGCAGAGGGTAACATTATCGTAATATAATACTGCGGGACGTAATATTGACGTAATATTACGGGGTGTAACATGGTGATAGCCGTATCGAAGGTCAATCTTTGAGAAATACTTGGCACCTTGCAACTGATCAAACAAATCATCAATTCTGGGTAAGGGGTACTTGTTCTTGATAGTCACTTTGTTGAGCTGACGATAGTCAATACACATTCTTAACGAACTGTCCTTCATACGAACAAACAACATTGGTGCACCCCAGGGGGAAATACTGGGCCTGATAAAGCCCTTATTCAGAAGATCCTTCAATTGGGTTTTCATCTCTTTTAACTCAGTAGGAGCCATTATATATAGAGGAATAGATATTGGCTGAGTATCTGGAAGCACATCAATAGCAAAGTCGATTTCTCTTTCGGGAGGAAGACCAGGAATTTCATCAGGAAATACATCAAGAAATTCATTCACGACGGGAACCGATTGAAGGGTTGGAGATTTCACCTCCATATCATGCACTCGTACCAAATGATAGGTGTACCCCTTCAAAATCATCTTTCGAGCTTTAAGGTAAAAAATAAACTTCCCATTAGGCTCTGCAGCATCACCTTTCCATTCAATAATAGGCTCACTTGGAAAATTAAAACGAACAATCTTTGTCCAGCAATCTACATTGGCATAAAAAGAAGCCAGCCAGTCCATACCCATAGTGATATCAAAATCAACCATTTCTAGCTCATGAAAATCAGCTAACGTATGGCGGTCATGAATCTTCACATCGCAACTTCGATATAACCGTCTAACTACAACAGACTCACCCATTAGTGTAGATACCTCAAATGACTTATGCAACAATTCAAGCTCTCTATCCCATTTACTAGCAACGAAGGGGGAGATATATGATAATGTAGAACCAGGATCTATCAAGCATACATATCGATAGAAAAGAGGATAGTATACATGTAACCACGTCCAGAGATGACTCTAAATCCTGACGACTCGATAAAGCATATATACGATTTTGCTGACCTCCTGGACTAGAAGTTCCAACTCTTCCCCTACCCCTACCAGCTGATGTTTGCATACTCTGCCTAGGATGACATACCGAAAAAGAAGAAGAAGCCCCTGCAGATGCCGTCGGCTGAGCCATACCCCCTCCACTGTCATCGGAAAATGTCTCATAATATGACCTGGCTGTCCACATGCATAACATGCATCATAACCCTGGTGACATGGTCCAAAATGATTTTGGCCACATCGATCACATCTGGGAAACTGAGGCCTTATCTGACTGAACTCGCCTATAAATTGTGGACCTGGGGTCCGTGAACTCTGACCTAGACCAGAATAAGTGGTCCGATCATGTCACTGTCCCTGAAACTGTGGTGGCACACTGGCTACCAGATAAGATTGATGCCGGGGAAACTGTGGCCTAAATCCACCTCGAAACTCTCCTGTGTTACCTGTGAACCGTGCCCTCTTCTTCTAACCTCTATCATGCTCTCGATTGGCTCGTTGTTGCCTCTTGCGATACTCTAGATCCTGTGCATATGATTGAATACGGGAAATATCCATTCCTTGGTTTAGAGAAGCTGTAATGCACGCATTTATCAAGTGTACCCTCAGACCACTAACAAATTGGTGTACCAAATCACTCATATCAGCAACAATCGTAGGAGCATACCTAGCCAAAGAGTTGAACTGCATGCTATATTCCCGAACACTCATATTACCCTATTCTAAGTGTAAGAACCTATCTCGTCGGGCTCTTCGAAGCTCGATTGGCAAATATTGCTGTAAAAATGCCTTAGAGAACTCCTTCCATGTCACTGGTGGCACATTAGGCCCCCGAGTCTTCTTCCAAGTCTCATACCATGTCACAGCAATATCGCGTAGTCTATAAGAAGTAAACTCCATTGACTCAACATCCGTGGCATGTATAGTTTGTAAGGTCCGTTGCATAAGATCCAGAAAATCCTGTGGGTCAGCATTAGGATCAACCCCTGTAAATACTGGAGGATCCAAGTTGATAAAGTCCCGAACTCTCGCACTCACAGACCTATCAGCAATACCGAGGGTCTAGTGTTGGGCCTGGGAGGCCACTATTCGAGTCAGCAATTGTACAATACTCCGCATGTCTAAGTCCTGATCAGGAACAACTGGGAGAGGGACTGGAGGTACGTTAGCTCCTCTACGCCCTTCTGGGGGTGATGGGGGTGCTGCCCCAGAAGCCTGAGAAATAGCCTCATTCTGTGGCTCATGCTGATCTACATTAGTAGGTGGCACCTAACTTGTGCCCTCTCCCGCCTCCTCATCCAACCTCTGAATAAATTTCATATCCACTTGTCGTCTCGTAGTATTAGGCATCACTGAGAAGGTAAACAAAAAGAGAATTAGGAATGAACACTTATGATTAGGCTCTATTGTACGATCTAGATCAAGAAGAAAGTAATAATCCTAAATGCCCAATCGCCTTATGTTTATAAGTGTAGTGCACAAGACACCATAAACAAGACTCTACTAGACACAGCTTGCAGACTCCCTAGGATTGACCTGCTCTGATACCAAGTTTGTCACACCCCAATATTGGGAGGTGTGACCGGCACCCGATGCCCGAAGACCCGAGCGAACCANCCAACAAGACTGCAACAACAATATAACAGCTATCCAGAAGGCCGATAGGGCCATACAAAAAAAAAATATATGCAATGACCGCTAGTCCGCAAGCCTCTAAGAGTGTACGACAATCTCAACAGGGCGGGACAAAGCTCCCGACATGCCTAAAACTACACATATACATCTGTAATAGTACCTATGGACTCAAAGTCAGCAACTCCGAAGAAGTGGAGTGCGAAAACCAACGCTGATCCTGGGGGTCCTACTGAGGAGGCACGCCGCTCTGTCTATCCGAACCTGTGGGCATGAACACAGCGCATAAAAAAGAGTCAGTACGAAATATGTACTGAATATGTAGGGCGACAAGTGTAATATGAAAAATGTAATTAACAAGAGAAGAGTATAAAGACAATTTGAATTCTGAAACTAGCCTCGATAGGAAAACTAAAATTCAATATGGATATAAATGTATGCTCGTGGAATCGTCGCTCACTATTACTATTTATAATATATCACATTATATAATAATAAATCCCTCTGTGGGGCTATAATATCCATACCATACCCAGCCATATTAAAGGCTCGGTAGAATCGTACCCGGCCACGTGAAGCTCGGTAATCCCAACTGATCAGTGGTTACACAATAGGTGTCATACCCGGCCGTCTAAAGTGCGGTTCGGTAATGAAAGTAAATACATACATATATTAAATCATGAATTATATAAGTGCAATGCAAAACTAACCTTAAAAGACGTATTCTACGAAGAGTCGAAGTGGACTATCATCATTATTCCCCGACTATCATGGTTGTCGCTAAAATAATTAATTTTCAACTACAAGCCAACAAGTACTAAGAACATAAGAGTTATGTATTATGAGTACCTTTGAAGTAAGTGTTACTTATTCATGATTTATATGAACGTCGAAAGGCTCTAGTTCTTTTTAAGAAAGGAACAGGGAAAACCGAGAATTCATATATATTCTCTGAAGTAAGAAATCTATGAGAAAGGATCAGGTCTAAGCATCTTTATAAGTTGAAGGTGAAATAACTCAAATCCGACGAAACAATTCGATAAACGTTTATTCAAATTCTAGTCATGTATAGCGAAAGCCCTACATACCTTGTCGATGGAGTTGTATGCAGTTTCGGAGACCTCGAAAGCCTTAGGAACGATTTCCTACATAATACGAACCATTCAATATCAAATTCAAGCTCATATCTTATATAATTCTTCATTTAGACATTTAAGCGAACGACTTGCGGCATGAATTTGTAGACTCTTTTGTAGCTTAATTTCCCCCCAACACACCACCAAATTTTTACTTTACTACATCCTCATCGACACGATTCCATCCATGTCTTCACAGATCCAAACAACACAATAAAACCATATAAAACAGCCCCAACAATCAAGTCATATTAAGAGAGGTTTCTTTAAAAAATCAAGAATATTTCTATAGAGGTTTCAACTATTTCTTAGGAATTCTTATGGTAGAAGTTTACAAAGATCAAAGAGGAAGTTAAATCATACCTTATGTGACCAGAATTACTTTAAATTCTAGATTACTTCAAGGCGGAGTCTTCCTACGAAAAGTGAAACATTGAAGAATTCACGATTCCGAAGCTACCATGGTGTTCTCTATCTTGAGGATGACTAAATTATTGTTATGATTGGCTAGATGGATGGGAGGAGTTTGAGAGGAAATCCCTAGGTTTTAGGCTCTGTTTTGGAGAGGATAAAACGTAGGGGTTATGTTTTAAAACTGACTTAAATAATTATTTTTAACCAAAACCGACTATGCACACTGTTCCCGTAACAGTGTGCACCCCTGTACGAAAATGTTAATATCTCTCTACTCCGAAGTCGTATTAACGAACGGTTTATTGCGTTGGAAACTAGACTCATAGACCTTCAATTCAATGGATAGAACACACCATAGATCCTAGTATATTGAGAGAAAAGTGCATCAACATTCTATCTAAATTTCAGTGAAATTTAAAACCCGTAACTTGCTGCGATCTTTGTCGAATTTTTAATCACAACTCGAATGACTTCCAATCTTAACGTATAACTATCGCATCATTTAAATATCTCATAGAAATTATCTTCCTATCGAATTAGCCCCTTTACAACATGATAACGCCAAATACACAAGGTGTAACAATCTCGTGCCCATATTTCTATCACAACCGCACGGGCAACTCACGTGCCATTAAATAAAATCATCATATTTTTTTCCCGGCACCTGGTGCCCACATGTTTTCGTCTCACATTCCGCAACAACGTTTTCATGTTACTCAGTTCATAGGGTCCATAACCTAATACTATTAAGAATGTTCAAGGTGTCTCATTTACTTAATATAAAGTAGAGTACAACTTCCAACCCATTTAGGAAATCAACAAGAAAAGATGAAGTTATTTTTAGAAATTATTTAAATAGAGAAAGTACCATTTTCAATTAAGGTACAACACCAAATGAAATATTACCTTTAACAAGGAATTTAATATATTAACTTAGCAGAAATTCTATTTTTAAGTAAAAATATGACCTCAGACGTTCTAAGGAGATTTAGTTGAGAAGCCAATTGAATTAGAGGTATAACAATTGTTGAAAATTTAAGTATTGAAAGCTTTATATAAATGAGGCGAGGTATTCAAAACAATACGGGTTCCAACACAAAGGATCACAACAGTAAGGAAATTCTGAATCGTTAAAAACACTTGAATTGATAACAACAAATAAATACAGCAGCAGAAAGTGCACGTCACCACCCTTCATGCTTTTACTCGTGCTCACCATAAGAATCAATATTCACTTTTATTCTTTCTTGTTGCAGCGTGCAACCCGATCCCAACCATATATTACTGTTGCGGAGTACAACCCGATCCAAAACATATCATATTGTTGCGACATGCAACCCGATATAAATCATATAATGATGTTGCGGCGTGCAACTCGATCCAAATCATATAATGATGTTGCGGCATGCAACCCGATCCATATAATATTGTTGCGGCGTGCAACCAGATCCATATAACATTGTTGCGGTGTGTAACCCAATCCATATAATATTGTTGCGGCATGCAACCCGATCCATATAATATTATTGCGGTGTGCAACCCGATCCAAATCATATACAAATCAACACCAATCACGAAAGAATCCCGGCAAGGGAAACAACATCAAAACAATAACATCTCGGCAAGGGAGACAATATCATGATTCTCTCTCTCCTTTCTTCTTTCACGTTTACTCCACAACTCAATTCACAACTTGAGCCAATGCTCTGCAATGTTCAACAATTTAATTCTCAACTTGAGCCAATGCTCTATAATGTTCAATAATTCTATTCTTAACTAGAGCCAATGCTCTACAATGTTCAACAATTCAATTCTCAACTTGAACCAACGCTCTACCATGTTCAATTAACAATAATACTTCCACAAGTCATATTCCTCAATAGAAATTATCATATAGAGCATATACAATACGAAACGGAGTCACATTAATCAAAGTATAAGACTCACGGGCATGCTTGATACCAACGTATAGATACTCATCACCATGCTTATACGTCGTACTCAACAAATAACACATAACAAGTGGNTGTGTGTGTGTGTGTGTGTAAATGCTTATAATCAATGTATAATTTATGCATATTGGTTAGAAAAAGTAAACAATAATTTGACCAGCTATTTGTGTAACAATCCCAAAATAAAGTAAGATTTCATTATCCTCAAAAGTTTTACTGTTAATATGTAAACGTATCATTAAACTAGATAATCATATCAAATTTTGTACATTCTTAATTGTATACAATTGAAATGTTTTTAAAATAAATTTCATGATTCATATATTTTTAACGTACTTTTTGTTTTTAAATTAAAAAATTTGTGGTTGCTGTACTGCTTATGCCACACTCCATGATAGATACACGTGTCACCTAATATTTTTGTTTGTTAAAATACAGGTCAAATACCTTATATTTTTGTTTGTTAAAGTTTCCATTCTCAACTCATAACCCACGTGAACTCAGAAGTTTTCTTCGTAGCTTTCGAAACATTTTTTTTTTGGTGCGAAACTTATTTTACCACAGTAATGCAAAGAAT